TTTTTTTAATCAAGGAATTTAAAAATGCTCATTTATTATTAATTAAATTAAAATTTCTCATGCACACAAAAAATATATTTCCAATAAGAATTTACAACGACTGTTATACAATAAGTTAAAATATACAATTTACTGTTTTACAATAAGTTTGCAGCTTTTAGGGTGGTATTTATCATAAAAACATTTAAAACATAATAATTAATTATGAGCATTTTTAAATTCCTTGATTAAAAAAAATATTTATTTAACATACAAATTACTTATTAAAAAATTTGATATAAAATAATTAAAAACGGTTTAAAATTGTGTTATATACAAATTTAAAAATATATAAGATTTAAATAAAAAAACAATCATTTAAATAAAAAAAAAATCATCAGGGAATCGAACCTGCAACCCCGAGCGTAGTTAGTCTACGTCTTACCGTTGACGCTACGCTGCTAGCTCGAAAATTGCTTTTCCGTAACGGTACTATAGGGACAAAAATTTTTCTCGAAATATTTAAAAAAATATTTCTTGAGAATGCCTCAATAGTGGGTCCTACGGCTTTACAGGAGTAAATGTATGAGTGCGTACTACACACCCATAAAATTTTAATCAAATCGGTGATTAGAGACTGCCAGGTTTCCCTTGTTAGATTAAACGTAACGCCAAAGGTCAGTATTGATGCAAATAAAAACGTATAAAGAGAACAATGCAGAGAATAATGATATTTTGAATACAATGGGTTGATTGCGGCTTTAAAACACAAATAAAGAAAAATTATTATATTATTATATTGATTCAAAGGAAAATTTATATTACCAACTCACCTAACAATCAAACCATCAAATCCAATAACAACATAGACACAATGGCTGTTATGTAGAATTGTAAATAATAAATTGAAGATCGACAAAGTAGGAAGAGCAAATACAGACTTATATATAATATGATAATCAAAACAATAAAATTCGAAGTAAGTCAAATCACGCCAAAACGGTTAATATTGACGCGAAAAACAAGCAAATATTAAATACTGGGAAGTCTCTCAATAATTGATATGTAATTCTTATGAAGATTAAAAATATCCTCTTGTAAATTTTAGTCATTTTTGTCTTGTAATATAAAACATTTCAGAAATAATACGTTTAGTACAAGAAATTTCCTTGTCTAAAATTAAAACATTATTCCAGTAAAACTCATGTCCGAAAAGTCTATATTGAGACACTATCGAGTAATCTTAAATGTTTTTGTTAAATGGTTAAAATGTTCTTTAATCCGCGTTCCAAGTTGTCTTCTAGTCTGTCTCATATGACGCATTACAATTTTGACATAAAATTTTATAAACGACATCATTCTGTGTATCGTTTGCTAATCTATCTTTTTGTGATTTAATTAAAGTATTTAATTTATTTTGGCCAATAAAAGAAACTCCTGAAGTTTTTTATGATATAACTTATATTTTCAGAGATTTCGCTGATGTACAGAAATACAAAATTTTTTTTATTATCATCATTAGAAGTATCACTATTATTATTCGTATGATTCAAAACAATCCGATTGATTGTTGAGTGAGTTGGAAATTTAAATTTTCCTTTGAACCAATATAATAACTTTTCTTTATTTGTGTTTTAAGCAATCAACCCGTTGTATTCAAAATATTACTATTCTCTGCATTGTCCTCTTTATACGTTTTTATCTGCATCAATACCGACCTTTAGCGTTACGTTTAATCTAAGTTGCGCTCATATATATATATATATATATATATATATATATATATATATATATATATA